ACATACCTCAAGAACAGATAGAGCTGAACAACTTCCAGCTCTAACTTCTGGTAGTAAATCTTCTAATCCTTCCACAAATACAATCATTGCCTAAAAAGGAAATTATGTTGCTAAATTTTTGATTATGCTGATCTCCATGTTGGAAATTTTTTTAGCACCTAATTAGGTGCTTTTGTTTCACAAGGATTAAATTCTGATGATTCGTTCTTGCTCTCAACAGTACAATACAAAAGTTAAATACCTTATCTCTTGTTTCTTTGTTTCTAGAGAGTAACTTTAAGTAGGATACTGAAAAAAGACATTCAAATATAGTGATATGATTGGATTTATAGATCCTGCTTTTCTGAACCTCATTGGTATAAGAACACTTTAAATACCATCCAGTGAGTGAAAGAACCAGATAAAGCCCAAGGCAACAACTAAAACTATCATACAACTGAGCTGAGCTGATTTACTCCATTAAATGCAGAGAAGATGTATTGAATACAATTACTTTTTAACATTCATTCCAGGGGGCAAAATTATTAAACTTGAAAGGTAAATTTCCCAAAGAAAGATCAAACTGAACTGTTAACAATTTTTCAGATGCAAAGCGTCTTTGAATAGTGTGCAGGGAGCTTTATTTTATCAATCATTCAAGTCAATGATGTATAGATATAAATAGATGAATAGATAATAACTGTACCTGCTGATTGCTGGATTTCTGTATTATTAATAGTATTTAATAGTGAACCAATAACTTTTAAACACACTGTTGATGGTAGAGTATCTCGTAATGTTAAAATAGATTTTATAACAATATCTGTATTACCAGATAATAATCTATCTGTTAACGATACTGAAATTGAAATACAGAGAATATAAAATATTTCCCTCTGAAAATTCATATTTCCAAGTAGTACTTATTTTGTTGGCTAATATTTTCATCAATTCAATTCTATGCTTGATAACAATTCCTATATGTTAATTGATACATTGCATAAGTTAAGAAAGCAGTAGTATATCTATAAAGCGTTTATATTTTCTAATTCAAAGACAATATATGACACTATAACAAAGTTTATATTTCAAATAATATCAAAATGGTTCAATCATACAGTAAGCATTCATTCTTCAGTTACACATTAGCAGACATGGTAAAATTTGGCTAAATTTACTTACTTTCTTGTGCCACATCCTCAATTTTCTTCAAGCCACCTTCTGAGGTAAAGTAAGACATAAATTGGTGAAGGGTGACAATATGGGAATTTTTGATCTTTTCACCATTACAGCTGGGTAGATCTAATATTTTAGATATAATGTACCAGAACACTGAAATATAAACACAGGCATATTATTATATGTGCTCCAAAAGATTTCAAGTTCCGACAGCCAGAGTAACAAGGCCTCTGTAGTCAGGCAATGATATTTGTGCCAACAAAGATGATTCAAACCATCAACCCCAGTATGAACTCAATATTCTACTCAAGATAAGCTAGATTGTCTGTGTTAATTTTGATTTGTTCAACGAAAAGCACTCTGATTTATTCAGAGATTTTTCCAGTCAGTATGTTATGAGAGCATCACTGTATCACAGAACGTAATTTAGTAATAACACTTACCTCTATGAGGTGAAATTTCTACTTTATCTTGTAAACGTTGTCCAAATTTCTGATCCATTGTGAACACAAGTTTTTCGGGATGTATAAATAACAAATTTTGATCTATACAAGTTACCCAGAATTCCCTTAATGATTTGTCGTCTGTTAATTCTACCATAACTGAAAAATTTTTTGTATATAAATGTAAAGGTGGAAAATGCTTATTATGGACTGTTTTCAACATTAATGGATGAAGAAAAATAAGCAACATCATTTAATAACAAGACAACAATGCTAACTCATTGTCATAATAAACTTTTCAGGTTCTGTTTTAATATTTCTTCCTTGCACTACAATTGAGTTATAGAGCACTATTTTAACATTGGAAATATTTGTTATTGTCAAATCAACAAAAAACTTACTTGGATGAAGGTCGATGGTTGGTCCAGATTTGGCTATTTTTAATAATGCTGTAACTATTCCTGATTGAGTTTTTAATTTATCCAATGCATAGAACTCTCTACACTTTAGAGGGCCAAAATTACCCAAGCACTGAAAGATAAAAAAAGAATAATCAAATTGTTGCAGATATGAATGGAAAAACATACTAACATGCTGTAAATGGAAAATCATTAAAGCCTTCTCATCCAAATCCTTCAATAAGCTTATTTTTCTGATGCATTGTAGCCATGGGCAAAGTATTGTTTTGTATCAGCGTTTTGGTTTGTCAACTTAAATACATCAAATTAACTTCTTCATAAAGTCTGTTTATGATGACATTTAGCACTTTAATCCATATCTAATTGCTCATTTCAAAACACAACTTACCTCTAATAATCTATCACAGTAGTTAAGATGAAACAATAAAGCATGATCAACCTGTTCATTACCACTACTAGGTGGTACAGGACTGGATCCTAAACTAGATCCTAGTTGAGTATCTTCACTCAATCTTTTAGCTAATGACTCAATACCTGAGTCAGCTGTTTTAGCTGTGGACTCTGGACTCACTAATATATCATCTATACTCGACGTTCGGCTTTCACTGAGAAAAAAAAGTGTCCATGTAATAATTCATCTGCTGAGAATTGGCTTGATGTCTATGATTGCATGCAGATTAATTGAATTAAATAGGATTAAAATTTAGTTTCTGCTTGTTTTTTTGTCTTGATTGTAATCTAACAAGTTTTCTACCACAATCTTGCTCTAATGACAAGATTTTCAACCAATTAAAAGCATTTAGGACCTGTTTCTTGATAGTGATGAATTGTGGGATAACATTTACTAACAAGGCGGTAATATTACACTTTCCGCAATTCTTTTTGTTATCAAGAAACAGGTTGGTTAAAATAATATTTTATTAGAATGGGATCTAGAAAAAAAACATTTTAAATTATTACGAAAAACACCAAAAAAAAAGATATTTTGATTAGATCAGAGACAGAATTAGCTAGATAAGAATATAAAAAAAATACTAACTGAGGTGAATGATCTAAGTCATCAACTGTATCTTCTGTATTAAGAAAATCAAAAGCTTCTAAAGCACTTTCAATAGACACACTGATACTGGATGATCTCGAACTACATCGGGATCGCTTCTACAAAAATATTACAAAACAGATATCACATAAGCATCTTTCTTTCAAATTTTACCACAGTTATAAGGTTAGATTTTTTTGACTGATTTTTGTGACAGACTGAAAATTGTATTTTACCAAAAGTGACAAAGCCATATTTTGAAATTCAACAATTAGATGACCATATGGTTAATTCAGAGAGAATTTCAAAATTTATGGTTTGAAAATTGTCAATGTTATTCTGGCTATAATCATGTACTCTTTTGTTACAAATTTAAAAACAATATCCACCACTATTGCATGCCAAATAGCGTAAGCTATGTTTCCATTACACAAACAAAATAAGAAATTTTGAACATACCCGAAGGAACTGTTCCAGAGCAATAACACCTTCTTCTAAAGATTGTAATTCAGGATATTGTCCAAGAAAATCTTCCATAGAAGTCGTAAGGCTCACTAATGCCTCTTCGACATGAGTTGGTTCATCACGTGTCATCACAGTCTGAGCAAAAACACCAGGGAATTTCGATTGGGGTACCACAGGTGGGGACAAAGCACTGCTCACGGTGCCACTACCTAACACAGTATGTGAAATTAAAGAACTATTTGAGTCATTAACACTAAATGTACTGTCATGTTCTTTCACATTTAATAACGGTGAATGAAATGAGGAAGGTGAATCGTATCCACCACGCATAGGCAATGATGTAGATGAAGCAAACATGGTGTAATCATCTTTAGATCTCATCAGATGAATTGGACTGGAGTATCTTCTTTCATGACCAAGATCAGAAAAACTTTGTGACTACAAGAAAAGAAACAAAAACAATTTAAGAAGCACTATCAAGGAAAAATACAATCCTAAATGTTCTCTTTGAATATAAAAGCTTATTCTGCATTCCTTAATAAACAAACTTTTCAAATAGGCGTAACTTTCAAAGTGTACAAAAATTCTAATTGAAAATTTTTTCCACTGCCAACAATAAGGATGAAGCCAAGAAATACATCTGAATGTAGCTATGGCTTGGCCATTACAAAATGTATTGAATAAAATCAATAACAAATGGAATACTTCATTCATATTTTTTGTTAATTTCACCTGGCAACAGTGCGTTCCATCAAAAAAATCACCATTCCTTTTGCCAGATTACAATTACTGGTTCATTTTGTTTAAGTGTACATTAGGTGCGTAAGAAAAATTTGTCAAACTTACATATTGTCCATTTAATGCCACAACAGAAACAGGACGTCTGCGAGGAGTTGTTGCAGAACGTGTTGGCGCTTCAAAAAATGTTACACTATCATCAATGCCTTCTAACGGACTGAAACAAGATCATTCATCTCATTATTTCAATTTTTTATTAAAATGGCTGGTGTTGAACTGAGATGTCACAGAGATTTGAATCTTGGCCAATTAAAAATTAAATCCTGACTAAAAACACTTCAATGAATGGCATGCCAATTAAAAATCGAGTTTTTGACGAAAGACACACATGGCAAAGAGCCAGGTCAAATGTCTAAAAAACTATAGCTTTTTTTTTTGTATATCAAAATGCACTTTAACTACATGGATACCATTACACGTACAATATGAAGTTGCCGACAAAAATTCAGAATTCTTTTTTCATTTTATATCATACACTGTTTCACAAAAAATTTTCCAAAACATTACTGTTACCTACTGTACTTTCAATTAAACATTTAGTGCGGTGATAAAGACAAAATCTTGTGGCCTAATGTCATTACATTTGGAATTTCATTTTTATGTATAAATGTTTATAAAATGGTGTAAGTATATGATATTTAAATTGGTGAAATAAAACCATGTATTTTAAAGAAAAACTCACTTCCATGTAATGACAACACTCAGTTTTAAAGAACCATTAAAATTGATACTAATAGTCATTAGTTGTGGATTAGCAGAAAATAAATCTTTTACTTCACAATTCTTCTGGCCTAATAAAACACTTTTAAAACTTCTTGATTCTAATGCCTGGAATTAAAATATTTATTTCAATTAGATATTAAACTGATCATTGAAGATTCAATTTCTATTGAAATTTTTACAAAGTGAGCTATATGTAACAAATTTTGTCTGAAAGTCACGCCCTTTCCATCCAGTTTTGAACACTCTAAGAATAAAAAATACCAAAATATTGCCAATGTGTATCCATGTTCTTAACCTTCATTTCTGGTCAAATTGAGAGATCCCAAAAAACATATCTGTTCTATTTGATTTCCAGCAATTAAGAATTGAGTATATTATTTGTATATATATAATTGAGATGCTGTATATATAATATAAGTATATGTATAAATCTAAGGACCAAGGTAGAGTGGTAAAGATCATATTTCAGATTGATGGAATGCTGAATTTCAGGTCAAATTTTAATCCTACCCTTGAAATTGAATGACATTCCCTATTGAGTTGAAGAATCTTCAATACCAGGGAACAGACACACAAATTCCTCTCTATGTCTGTTATTTACCTACCTTTATAGTCAGTATATCTCCGACTAAAGATTTAAATGTGAATTCTGGAATATCCCACTTCTGTGTATTATTCTTCTCTATTCTACCTTTAGTTTTCCATTTCTGTGGTCCATGTCTTATAGTTACCTCAAACACATCTCCTGGACAGAGTCGAGCAAAACCAGCCATACCTATAATAATAGCAGATAGAAAGGACCTGATGCATTTGATATTACATCTGTTGTCAATGTATAGGAGGGTTTAGGTTGGCCTTGCAATGAGCAACTGAACTTTCAACAACTGCTAGCATTTGAGAAACTGAACAATTACAGGATTGGAAGACCAGATATTACCAACATTTAAATCAGTTTCTCACGTTCTACTTTCCACTAAAACTGTGATTTCACGTAAAAATTGGTCGATTTGTCCAGGGGTCAGAATTTGTGACTTAAATCCAAAACATACCTTTTAGTTTACAATGGAATGTACCCAACATATTCTCTAGCTGAGCTTCTATAGCACATAATGTCTGAAACAGATAAAGATTGTTTGTTATTATACACTAGAAAAACACATTACCCACAATGTCTATTTCAGTTTCATGTCACACTGTTTGGCATATTATTTGACTCGTTACTAACAATTTTTGGTGACTGCTGAGCTTTGATACTTATATAGCAGCAGTTGTGTTCAAAGGGTTAATAATATAAAAAACATAACTAGTTATTTGACCAGAATTAAAGTCTTTCCCTATTTTCATCAATGTTGATATCCTTTTTTTCATGCACGTTGGCTTTCTGAAAATGTAGAAATGTGCTTACCTGTGAACATTCTTTATAGCCATATTTGACATTGGTTATAGAATCTTTACGATGGCCAGGTGATGTAGTGAAGGCACGAGCCATTGTTCTGGCACCTGAAAATAACCAGAAATCAATTGCAGCTTTATGTATTACTTTTTTACATATTATCACCAGCTCATATGCAATTAGGGTGGAGTACCAATAATCAATTAGCTTCCTATTGCCATCTACCAAGCTATCTTTGATAAGTAAACACATGGTAACACATCAAATGTAGCTTCTCTTATTTCTTTTTTTTTTTTATCGTAGTTGAACTTCATCAAAAATTTTGTCAACAATTTTGCTCAAGAATCAAGTCTAATGCAAGAAGTTGAATTCATTCAATAAGCAAGTTTTTTCCTATAATTCTGATATTTTGACTTATTCAAATAATGTCATGACCTTTGATATTTGACGTGAGAAAATTAAGATGTTAAAGAAACATGTAGATTAAATAAAACAGAATTTGATTCTATATATATATAGTATATCTAACAAGTTAACCAATTAATTCATAGTCTGGACTAAAAGCAACAAAACATCCAGATTTGCATCTTAATCAGATAAGTACAAAAGACATAACACCGTTTTGCTAACTTAAGTCAAGGCTAGTTTCCAGGTGAGAGTTTTGAGTTCGCATTTAAGATTTTAAGACAGTTAGCTATTTTTCAAATTAAATAAACCTGAGAAGTCTCCAATGTTGAAACTAGCATTAGTTTTAGAAAATTGATAAAAGAACAATATCATCATTTTTGAAAAATTGTGTAGTCATGTTTTAAGGTATATTTGTGGATTTAAAACTTACCCTCGCGTAACTGTTGATGAACCAAATAACAATCATATAATTCATCTACCTGCAGATATAAATTTTCTATTGTAAATTGCATTTAACATAATAGTCATTTCACTTCATCTAGGGTCATATGCTTTCACTTAGGATGTTTAATCCAGTAGCATATGAATTTGTATTTAAAAAAGATTTATGAACAAGTTGGAAATCATTCAAGTACATGTTACATACCTTTGCTAAATGGAATTCTAATTTCTTTAAATATCTTTCAGCTGCCTTAATTTGCTGAAAAAAAGATTTCAAGTTATTTTAAATATTCTAGAAACCATTTCTAATATGTATGAGATAAATATCATTACAGTACATTGAGATAATAAATAAACTGTGGTGTTTGTAAAGAGGAGAAGCAAAGGGAGCCTTGTCATCAAGATTAATATTGTAGAATGAAGCATACTCAAGTTAAATATACAAATTCTAATCCAATAACAAATGGTGATAATTCCTAATACTACATAAGTTATAAAAAAAATGGCTGCTAAATGTCTGCTGAGAGGGGTGATTTTCTATTTAAATTAAATTCATTGGTGTAATATTTTAGTTATTTAGGTCCAAATATAATACACATAGTACAACAAGAATGTTGTGAGCCAATGGAAGCAGTGCAAAAAGCATTTCAAGAATGATATGTGACTATGATGTTGCCAGATTATAATCTGCACAAAGATACAATAAATTACTCATAGATAAAGCTTACAGTTTACAGAAGCAAACATCAACAATACCCTTATGGCACAGTGAATTATATAACAAAATCAACAACTTTCAAACTGAGCAGAAGTATTTGTGCACAACAAGAGCATGGCAATGATTTTCAGGTACATAAACATTGTAATTAAGACTACTATTTACATGGAATGGACAAATTTTGTTTATTATGAATGAAAAAACATCTCAAAATATCTGTATTCATCTAAAGATTTAATTTCTTTGAAATAGGAAACAAATCCATGCATCTTTTCTCACTAACTTAGGAAATTGAAACCTAAACCTTATCCAATGAATAAGAATTGATAACCAAGTAGTTATAACATGTTAATAGAATTAATATGACCATGATGCACATAATAAATTTAAAGTAGTAATATTACTGTGATTAATATTAACATATCTCTTTTAATTGCATACATAAGTACCATTGACTTAATTGTGAATATCAAGTACAAGAGTTGCAAAGTGGATGTCAAGGTCAAGTCCAATTCAACTGTCAAGATCCTTTAGGCCTATAGGTGCGCTCGATTGGAGAGTTCTGAACAAGTTCTCTGTTCCAATTTTGCCTTTAATTGGACTGTACAGAAGCGGATATGTCACATTCAAAATTTTCCTATTTATTTCCCTCTCCGCATTTTGAATTTTGCCTGCACCTAGTTTTGAATTTTGCCTGCACCTACTAATTTTTTTGCAACACGTGGGACACGTTCTGAACTTAGTTCCAACTTGAATTATTGAACGTTCTGTGGATTCCATAAATCCTTCATGTGCAGAACTCTCCAATCCATAGTCATTGTCATGGTCAAATTGAGATGGCAAATGAATGAATGGAGTTTAACATCCTACTCTTCTACACTCAATTAGGCCAATGAAGACGGGCAAGGTCATGCAGTGAGTCAGCCTACTTTTCCAACTGTCAAAGCCTGTATCTCATGGTAACACAAGGTCAATTTAGACATACATGGTCAATGCTCAATGTCAAGGTTATTTAAAACTGGCAAGATCAATGGTAAATGGTAAGTTCAATGGTGAATGGTAAGTTCAATGGTGAATGTTAAGGTCAATGGTGAATAGTATAATTTCTAAATCAGTCAAGGTCAATATGAAGATCAAAATAAATTTGAAAGTGTTAGATATTATATTAAACAATATAAAAATCAATATCAATATAAATTTTATGGACAAAATGCACTTAAATAATCATGCACTAATTTCAACTAGTAATTAAATATGAAGTATCCAATCAGATAGTATTAATGCTTTGCTGTTCTTTGATTCATCTAATTAAGAAGAAGTAAACCATAAAAAGTAATATGTTCCATGGTTTTATTTATTTTCATCAAACTTTACTGTTGAATAAATTTAGGAAAATTTAGGTATGAAACCCTCGCCAGCTTGATGTGAAATTGGGTTAACTTTCTAGAATACTAGGATTTAATAGTATACGAGCTGAATAAGTGAACCAAGTGGAAAGGAGCTTACAAACTAAAACTCTAGTCTAAGAGTAAAATACAGATAATGTAAAATAAAAAATATTGAGATTAGAAATAAGGTTCTGAAGAGTCTGAAACCAAAAGGCATGTGACAAAAGAAAGAAATATTTTCTGTAACAAAATAAGTATGTCAATTCAAAACAAAAATTGAGGTTAAAGAATCAAAACCAATCCAAAATACAGATACACAATGCAACATATTTCAATATGTACCTTTTCGATTTCATGTTGCTTGCCCTGAATAAAAAAGGACCTGTGATGTTATTTCTGTTACAAATTGGACGCAGAATCATTTGGGGAAAAAACATTTCAGACAGAGAATGCCTTTTATCGGTCACATATTTTCAGTAATTGCTACCTTCAATGCATCAGGTTTGATGGTATCTTATATATTTATATGACAGAGGACTGTTATCTCTCAACAGTGGTGCAGTACTTATACTATGCCCTTAAGAGATATATTGTTTTAGCTCCATTTCATAAATCTTTCAATATATATATCTCATTTAAAAAAAAAAAATCATTCTCACAAAAAGGTTGGAGAATATATAATATAGTCATATTAATCTATTCTGAGGGCACTTTTTCAAGATCAAGGTATTTTAACAAAACAACGCCTTCAATGAAGAATTGAACAGACTATACTACATATTAAAACATATGTAAACAATCAACACTTTCAAATCATGTAAATTTTATACAATCTTTTAAATGCAAATATCTGTTCCTACAGAGTAACCTATAAAACTACAATAAAAGTTGAGAATAAATATGGTGTGTGTAATTTGCATACCTGTGAAGATGACATAGAGTCAGTGGCTTGTAATTGCATAATATCATCTTGTGTGGCATGAACAAACTCCCTGCAAGTAAATAAACATTCAAATAACTTTAAGAGGGAATGAAAAAACCCAAGAAAAGTAGGCAGCATCACAAGTATGAATGTTACCCATGAGTCTTTGTTTCTATTTCACAAAAAAACACACTGTAAAAGGGCTATGGTTTTTTTTTTTTTTTTTTTTAGCAAATTCTAATTTTAACTGTTTACTGGCCAATGTCACGAAAAGTTCAATTTGGGTAGTTCCATTTTTAGAGTGCATTAACAAAACCAAAGGAAAGACAGACAAACATAGGTGACCATTGGGTATGTCTCTCATTCTTATACAGGTAAATATAAATAATACACTGCAATATTTTATTGACATACACGTAAATTGACAGCTAACACAATCAATATTTGTAGTTATGCAATTTTCTTGTTAGCCAAGAATTATATTAAAGATGTGATTAAGGTTATATCAATTTTAGCAGCCTATCTATTATTGAAATAATATTCATCAAGTATTTTACTTGTCACTTTCTGAACAAATAGAAAACCGGTTTAGGATTTAGAATAGTTGATAAATTTATTTAATTTTCCATCTTCTTGAACATGTATTTTTTTAAATCTTTAAGGTAGCAGAGTCTTCCAATTAACAGGGTATATTGTGAAATATCTATATCATATCCATAATGAAGAGTTGAAAACAAAAAAACTGACAATATTTGGAATAATTTATCACAAAATGAGGTTCAGAAAACAGTGGCTACTCCTATTATTGACATTGACTGTAAACCTTAATCAACTTTTGAACATTGCGGGAAACATTTTATCACTAGGTTATGCTTAATGTTTCCTTCAATGGACTCTATTGTGGAATTTCATTATTCTATATATCCTATGAATTTTATTTTACATGAAATTTTTAAAATTTTTTCAGAAAATGTGATCGTTGTTGATAGTGATTCAAGCTAAAGACCTAATATTAATTTCTGTTCACTCTCTAGAAATTATAATGTATTAACCTCATAATGACAGACTTTAAAACTTTTCTTAGCCACTTTCTACTTCAAATGTATCTTGCCCAAACATTTAGTCGATAAATGTAACAGTTCTTGAATGGTAAACATTTTTTGGCAGGTCAAATCATAAAACAAATTTTGTGACCTTCCATAGCTGTAGAGTGAAATGACCTTGGTGATGATGTACTACTATTGACTAAAAACTACGTAGATTTGAGACAGTTTCAAGGTAAAAAATGTTGACGTCTGTTGACACGAGGAGTTGAGAGATTATGACCAGGTGATTAACAGCGGACGATGGTCATTTGTATTTGTTTTGTTTGAACAGTAACTCATTTAGCTCGCAACACAAGTATCTTAAATACCGGTAGTTTAGTATTCATGGACGGACATTAGACTGGGTTGGGGACAGGATGGTTTTGATGGTAGATTAACTATTAAATCTCATTCACACTTTACGTTTAAATCGCTTTTATACCCACTTAACAATCAGACGTGAAAAAGATTTTAAATTTGAAGACTGGTACAATTTTACATATTCTTGAAAATTGAGAACATTTTGTCAGCTGCAAGATAGTATAGTATCATTGCCATTTGAACTTCAATAACGATTTTCATTTGATAAACAGAAATTCTCTCTGATTTCTTGTTATGTCTCAAACACCAGAATTGAATTAAAAGTTAAACACTTACCCAAGGCCCTTTTTGACACTTTCAAACATTAAAAGTGCTCTGTTTGGTCGTGGAACCTTGGGAACTTTAGGTGACTTTCTAAAATTGATTCCCGAATTACGTGATGTGTGTTGAGGATGGGTGTAGGTCCGGGGACTACGTTTGATGGTATCTCCAAGAACAGGAGTTGATGATGATGACGATGATGATTTAGTAGACATGCCACCAAATGAATGACTTCTGGTTACTGCTGCTGGTCCCCGGCCGTGGCCATCTTTAAGAGACATGTTATCATGGTTGTCATATTCTACTATTCGAGTCATCGAGGAGGTGGAATCTGAAAATATCAAAATGAAGATTCATAAATACATAGAATAAAAAGGCTTGATGCCTATGAAATCTGCATACATAAAATGTCTGCCAAAAAGCAATGTTTTTGTTTGTCTGTTATGTACATAAACTCAAACAATTTGAAGGAAATAATTTCCAGCATCATTATTCAGTTTAAGGCAA